AAAACATTGATTTAGAGAACAATAAAAAAATTATCTCAAAGAAAAACTAAGTTTTAGTTTCAATCACATTGTAAATATTGTCTTAAGAAATAGTGATTTCCAGTGAATTTAAGCAATGGAATATCCAAAAAAAAAATAAAAATAAAAATAAAAATTAAAAAAAAAAAAAAAAAAATGGAATATCCAAATGATAAATGTGAAGAGACAGATAAATGCTTAAAGAAATATATAATTTTAAAGAAGTATTAATCTAATAAATTTTTAGTATCTATTAAAAAGAGTAGCACTAAAAAAAAGTAATTCCAGTTATTTTTCAGCCGATTCAACTTCTCCCAAAAATTTCCTTTCGCTATATGATTGATAAGTAAACGAGTTGAGTAGAATTTAAGTAAAAAAAAGAAATTAAGCTAACTTATACTACCTAATAGAAGAGTTGAATTCGAGCTAAGTTTGAGCTCAAGTCGCGCTCATAGGACAAGCTCAACTATTCGAAATAACAATAGGCTCAAGGTCAACTTTTGAGCTCAAAGACGCAAGGATGCTTCGGTAGAAATTAGTAGGAGATGGTGTTGATGGCGGCGGCTATGAGCATAAAAGTTGTGATAGGAGCACATCATATAAGACTATGAGAACTTGAGAAGTCCATTTTAAATGATTTTTCAATATCTTAAGTCATTAGCAGTGACATCTTTTAAGGTAGAGAGAAAAAAATTTAAGAAGGAACAATGTTTGCATCACTTTTTATTGAGGTTTCAGAGGTCATTCGATTGAATAAGGAAGAAATTCAGATATACTAGAGAAGAATACTGACTGCCGTGGGGCTTTCAATGTCAGATATCATAGCAAAATAGAGGCAATACAAAGAAGAAGATGAAGGTGATAGATTCTTTTCATTAGCAATGCTACAACTGTTACTAAAAACAAAACACAGAAGCTAATTAATATCATTACATCATCAATTGTAGTTACAAATTTATGTCAAGGTTAACTAAAGCATCATTTGAGATGACTTTATTACTGTTTCTTAAAACAAATTTTTAATTTTGTACTAAAAAGCTGCTTTAAGAAGTAGTAAGAAAGCCCTCTCAAACGAAGCCTAAGGTTATTTAAGACGGCTTTCTTATTATTTCTTAAAGAAGTTTTTTAGTGCAAAAATTATAAATTTTGTACTCAAAAGCTACTTTAAGAAGCAATAAAAAAACCGTCCCCAACTATGCCTAAGTTGCTTCAGATTCATCTAACAATAGCTGAAAGAAAAACATGGTGACTAGAATTGCAGATTTTGTTACAATATTATACTCTTATAAGTATAATGGATGATGACTAGAGTTACACCATCATTGTAGTTAATTAATGCCATGATGTTCATGTTGAACATGAGGCACATTGCTTTTATTTATTTAAATAAATGGATTCTTTGCAACAACCTCCTACTTTATTATGCAAAATTTAAGAGATCCTTGAAGATGTCAATTGTATTAAGCAATTAGGATATTACATTTACATGTGGTAAGTAAGATATGTTACTTGCAAACATTTTCCTTATTGTTTATCTTGTTATTCATAAATGTTTTAGTGTCATTTTCTTTTGTTATTGCACACCTTTTTGTTATTCACACATGTAGGGCAATTTTTCAATGATGTATTTACCTTCAATATTTCGAAGTTTACTTTACTATCACTTACAGAAAGTGGAGATGGATGAATTTTAAAAGAACCGACTCATAATAATGAAATATTTAAATTGAGTAAAATATCATGATTTTTTTGTTCTTAAATTTTTTATGTAAATAAAGTATCTTATATATTTTGCTTTCAATATATCTATATGGATATTCTTACAATCACAAATAACTAAATTATTTTTAATCACTAATTTTTTATCAAGCCAAAAATAAAAAATAAAACTCTTTTTCCCCACAAAAAAGAAAAAAAATTCTTTACTCAAATTCTTCTCAACCAAACAAAAAATAAAAAAAAAAACTAATTAAGTTTAATTATATAATTATTTTCATTTTCTTTTTTATTTCATCTCTTCTAATTCCTTCAAATCAATAGAACCTCTAGGATTTGCTATTATAGAAATTTAAAAAATTTAGACAACATAGTGATTTCATTGAAAAGTTTTTTTAATTACTCTTAAGTTTTTAGGTTAATTTTCTATTGTTCTTCTTGATTCCTACCATGTGGTCATAAGAATGTCAATGAAGAAGATTTTAGTAAAAGCTATTATGCATGAGTTTCCCTACAAAACTTTCAAAGTAGACTTCCATATTTGATGTGATGGAGCCTCCAATTACACCAATATGAATTGATTTTTACTCAACTTCTCATAATCCATGCTTGATCTCTACTCAACATTTGAATAATCACATAAAAAAATAATTTTATTATGCTTTGTGAGCTTGTCATTGACATTTCTTAGCACTATATGCTACTCTAATCTAATTTTATGCCTAACAAATCTTTGTTTTTTACTCTCTTATCATCACTCTCTTTGCATTTGCATGTTTTTGTTAGCCCTTACTAGAAAAGATTGTTTATTTACTCTTATTTTTTATCACATTTATTTAAAGTCCATTATAATTATGAAATATGTAATTTTTTTAACTTGTAAATTTATATATTTTTTATTATCAAATTTTTATTCATATCTTATATTTTATTATCGTGTTTTTTATTTCATGTCCTATAATTATATATATCCTTCTATTATACCCTCACTATAAGAAAATCATCTATTAACGATAGCATTTTCCAGCGTCAATTGGTTATTTTCCGGTAACAAATTTTTCACCGGCAAAACTTGCGTAGGAAAAATATTTTCAGATGTATTTTCAGACAGCAAATATTTCCAGTGATTTTCCGACGGAAAAAAGGTCGCCGAAAAATAAAGAAAAATTAATTAAAAAATGAAGCGCCCCGACTGCCCAACCACCCGCCCGGCTGGTGTTGCTTACCTGGGATTCGAACTGAGTTCAAACTTTTTTCTAAATCCCAACCATTTTGCTGGAAGGGCAAATGAGTTAAAATGCTTATTATTATTTATTTAAATTATAACTGTACAAAAGTTATAATTAAAATAAACTATAAATTATTAATTAATTAAACTATGAATAGATGATTTTTTAGAAATTATTACCAGCTGCCAGGAAAGCCAGTGGAAACAAAATCATCCGAAAGCAGCAATAAATTTTTCTAAATGGACAATTTTTCTGTATTGCCTAAAATTCTTTTAAATATATAATATCATTATTCAAACTTTGTTTATTATTATTATTTTTATTTTTATGAATATTTTAATCTATCTTTTTATATTTTCCAACTTTTTATTATATTTCTTAGTAATCATGAACCAACATTATATTTATGGATGATTCTAAGCAAGATTCCTAATCAAAGTTCATTCTATGATTATTTAATTTAATGCCAAAAAAGCTTTTTAATGTTCATAAATTATAAAAATTATTGATTATAGAGTACCAAAAGAATTGTTCACATAATCAACAAATATTTTTTTTTTCTTCCTCATACAGTCAGAGTCCCCTTCCCTTCTCCAACAACCCTCAACAAAACCTACATAATCTCCACCTAATCTTCTGACTAACCCTAATTTATCTCCTTATCCTTTCCAAAATATGTCAACAACTTTCTAACAAAGCTTGCTAAAAAGTCTCCAACAAACTCCCAAACTTCTCTATAATTCAAAATAGATCTAAGAGCTCAACTAATAGTGTTGATTGAAATTTTATGTGGATTGACGAATCATAAAATATTTAAGAATTATGCTTACAGAACTCCACTAGTTAAATTAAGCTTAATCCTATTCATATTACCAATATTCAGAGAAAAGAGAGTTATAACAGCTAAATTTCTTTCTTTTTTTTTTTTTTTTTTTTTTTTGATGTTTAAATTAAATTTAATTCATTTTCCAATAAAATTTACGGCTTCTAAGATATTTGATGGTATTCCCACCTGAGAAACTCCTGAAGGTGAAGTGATTGAGACAAAGAACTCTGAATTGAGTGACTATTCTTCAACCCTTCATTGATTTTAATCTTGGTTCAATATCTATCTATTATTGTTACCCCTGCAAATGTAGCTGATAATGAAAGCCATATAAATCTGGATGATTTTCACACCTCAGATCCTTCGGATCCCCTTAACAAGGCTTCTGCTTCTGGTTTTATTCCAAGTACTATAGCAGAGTCTACTTCCTATTCCAGCTGGTAGCCATTAATGCAGAGACCATACGCATTTACCTTGAAGTAATAGTAGAAGCCCGTGGTGTCTTGTCAACATTTCCGGTTGATTTATTTGAAGACTACAAAAAAGGGATTTCAATATTTGACGTGACACGAAATTTTGACTAGAATCTGACCCGAAAATTTCAGGTAAGACCTGACCCGATTTCGAAGAGGGTTGGATTCAGGTTCCCGAGTTCGATCCATTTGAAAAAATGAGTCGGGTTCGGGTTGACCCGGAAACCCGAAATCAACCGGGGTTAACCCGGAGAAAAATGAGTACGACTACCCACGTCGCGTCGAACGAGCTCCCAGCCCGTGTCTCAGTACCCACATTGTCTGTGTTTGACTGCCCACACCACGTCGACTACCCGTCCCGCCGTCGCATCGAGCCGTGATGCCTCACCAGCCTGCAGGTCGGGTCAACCTGACAACCCGTGCGGGTTGGATCCAGGTTGAAAAACTTGACCTGTATGCAAAAACTGGTTGGGTCAACTAGTGTCGGGTCAATTCCAAGTAAGACCTGAAGCCGACCCATGACCTGATTTTGATAGCCCCAAAGATTTTTATACGGATGGATGCTACTTTTCTTCTAGTAGTTTAATGTGTTTGTTAACTCTATTTGATCGAAAGATCCACTTATTTTCAGTTAAATGACAAGTTTTATTGTGAATTTTATGAACTTCAACATACTTTCTGTCCCAAAAGAAAAAAATAAATGGCTTCCATTATGATTGCTCAGCATTCATGCCAATATTATCACATATAACAAGTATAAACCATTAAGATTTACTGATGAAAGCTAAAAATAGACATAAGAACAAAGTTACAATCAAGCACATAGATATATGGCTAAAAGCAACTGGCAACAAATTAAAACATGAAATGACAAAAAGAAACCCTTTTTCTGGCACCATGCCACTGTAGATTAAACAACTAAGAAAGCAAAGCTTATAAGCAGATTTTTTGAACATTTATCAAACAAACACTAACTAAAGAAATCTCCAGTGGTGGATGTTTACCAGTTGTTCTGGGTGATATAACTGGATGGAAGCCCATTTGGTGCATGGAAAAAATCAAGAATGAACTCTCGGAGCTCGCATGCCGAATCCGCGCTTTACTCTTTCAACTCTGTTCATTTAAAATGTTGAGTAAGTTAGTAAATGCAAGTATTATCAATGTGCAGTACAATGAAATTTACTAAATAATTTCTAGACTTGGGAAATGTTCTTTTTTTCGTTTGTAAATTTACTATTTCAGTGTATATTTAATGTATCCGCAAAACTATGGAATATTCAGGTTTATTTAAATATGTGTAAGTATAATCCAAGCTATTTTAAAGATAAATATAATGTTTATTTTAGGCTTTTGTGATCTTCCTAGTTTTATGGTACTTTAAAGTTGAGAAAGAGGTGAAATGTAATTAAAAAACTAAGAGCAAAATGAAAATAAATAGAAAGAAAAATTATGCAAAAAATACAAAAAGAATCTAATACAAGTTCACCTAAATCTATGCATTATTGCCACCCTTGTATATTTCACTAGTAAGCTTAAGTGAGCTGATGTTGGTTTTATGTTGAATGTTGCCTCAGACCTCAATTCTATTAGGTGAGCTTGTCTGGGTTTGAACGGGGTTCTCCCTCTTCTTGGGTTTGAGTGCTCAGCGACCAAAAGAAATTTTTTTCCTCATACAATCATACAACGTCGCGTACCCGAGTTCCACGGCATCCCAAATCCCGACACGACGGCGCTCCAAACCTTTGCACTGCGGCGATGTCAGGAAAACAAGAAACAAAGAGTTAAGTGTCGCGTCGCTACGAGTCGGGCTTACAATTTTCTTAACCGTTTTTCTTGAAGAGTTGCATCTCTTGGTGGTTTAAGTGAGTTTCTCTTTGATTTGTTTGTAAGAGAATGGTGCGGGAGTGAAGAGAGATAATGGAGTAGAAGAGAAGAGAGATTTGTACTACTTTTCTAAATTTTTCATAGTAATTTTTTTGGAGTGGTGTGGCTCTGTTGTTTTTCCTGACTTCGGGTCTTTCTTTTCGCTGCATTTCTTTTCTTTCTGGTTTATGTTTGCTGTGTAATTTACTTCCCAAACAATTCAGTCGACTTAAACTTAAGCTAGTTAATGAGCTCATGAATTGACTTAATGAACCACGAGCTAACTCAAATTATAACTAATATATTATATGAATTCGAGTTTGATAAAAATTCACTTGTTGGATTGCAAACAAACTCGACTAAAGAAGTAAATCATAAATCATGATTACCACTAGTCCCGTCCATGCCTTCTCCAATAATCCCCCATTATGATGTTCTCCCCATAGATGTCAAAGCCTCCTCCAACGAGCTCCCATCATGACTTTCATGCCATCTCACCGTGGATGCCTTCTCCAATGAGCTCTCAATGCGACATCCTCGCCATCAATGCCTTTTCCCCTGTGAGCTCCATTCACAACTTCCTCCATTGATGCCTTCTCCAACAAGCTTCTAACATGACTTAGAACCTCTTTATCCGTCAATGGTTCCAAGAATCTTTGGAGGAACTCGAGCTCAAACCTTCATTTGATATGATGAGCCAAGCTTGAGTTCGAGCCTATTGTTAGTTATAACTCAAGCTTGACTTAACTCCGTTACACCCCTAGATCTCACTATAGTTGATTGGGGAGAATTTCAACCCTAATTTCTCTAATACAACATAAAGGCTCGTGACAACCTATGTAGCGAGTTTTTCCATAACAACGAAAAACATAGCATCAACAACAATATCAAAAGGGTGTCATTACCAGTCATTTTATCTGAGCAATGTAACAAAATTCATGTTGTCGAGTTATAAAACTAGTTTTTGAACCACATGAATATATATATAGAACTAATTTCAACTTTGGATCGCACTTAATAGCACTCGAAAGAAAACGGTTGATAAGTCACATACAAATCATTATAATCCTATTTCTTTTTGCATCCAGCAGAATTGGTAAAATATATTATCAAATAAAAAAACAAAAGTGAAAAGGCTATAGTTTATATATTTATGAAATCATAAATAAATAAAAAAACAGTCAATAAATGCATTAGAAGGTGCAAAAACTCACGTAGGTGCAAGTTTGCCGAGACAATCAAGCTCTTCACCAGTTTCTTCATCCCAAACTTTACCAGAAATTTCAATAATATAAGACCTGCCTTGAGCAACTGGAAGTCCTCTACTAGCAAGCAACGTTAAATCTTTATCATTAAGCTCTCTCCCATTCACAAGAACACCAGTATTTCCAGCAGCACAATTCTTTTGCATGGGATAATTGAACTCCTCAATAAATGGCTACATGTTACATTTCATCAGCAAGTCGTCAAGAATTACTAAGGCTTCGTTTGGTACGGCTTTCTTATTGCTTCTTAAAGCAGCTTTGTAGTACAACAAATAAATTTTTTATACTAAAAAAGCTGCTTTAAGAAACAATAAGAAAGCTGCCCCAAACAAAGCCTAAATTGAATTCAATTGAAATTACTCGAACTTACAGGAATTATTCCAAGACATGCATGTCCCATCACGCCCCAGAATCCAGCACGGTAGTCATACCTGAAAGATAATAAGTACCAATTATGTTACAAAAATGAAGAATAGTAACTTGACAACTCACTAATATGTAATATGAAAGTTTTGACAATGTAATGACTTAAGGGCATCTCCAACCGAAAATCCCATTTTTCATACAAAAATGCAGTGAAACTAAAAAATGGCGTGATTCATCTCCAATCGAACTTCATTTTGTGCCCTTTGCAGCAGAAAGTAACCGTGTTTCTTTCTTTCGCGCGTTTCTTCGGCAAATCCGGTATAGAGAAAAATAATGCAGGTGAAAAGTGCAACGCCAATATTGGCGTCACACTGTTCACCCGCAATCAATTACTGGAAGTTTTGCCATTCGGCTGGAGCTCATGAGCGACGCCATTCATTCGTTTGGAATTCGGTTGGAGAAGGTCTAAGAAAATAGAGGGCATCTAGATTATTGTAGCTTACCAATAATACCCAGGATGGATAGGTCCAGCAAGCTTTTCAGCCCTTTTGACCAAACGATCAGAGATAGAACGCCCATTCACTGAAACTTTAGACCTCCCACTTTCTGTTGATTGACTGAATGGAGAGAAATCCTTAAAGCTTTTCTTGATAAGGCCTGTGAGGAAAGAATCTCCACCCTTATTAAACCGAGGCTCCTCTTCTTCTTTGCTTACATCCCAAGAATCTTGAGAGAACCCAGCATTTGGATAATCTTCAGCTGAAAAGTCCATCTCAGTAGCCACAGGTACATCTTTTACAGAATTCTGTTTGAAATTTCCTGTATATGAAGTAACCCTCTCCTGATCAGAGCGTTTGCTCCTACTTCCACTCCCAGGATCATCAACTATTTTATTACCAGAAGAGTAACCAAAATGCTCACGAAGAGGCAAACTTGGAACTCGAGTGATGGAATCAACTTCTACAGGAAGCTCTGTAGAACTGGGAGCATCTCTGGGGCAAATCACACTATCTGGACTTTCCACACCACCAGAAGTGCTGGATGATGAACAAAGCCCATGCAATTTCTCAGAATCACTTAGATTAAGTCCACACTCTTTTTCTACTACTTCATTACTTGAAACAGGAAAAGCAGGCATAACAATCTTCTCATCTGCTGATCGAACATCAAAGTAGTTTGGGCTATCATAATCAATGGAGTATGAAATAATTTGGCGTCGGTTGATGTTGCCATGACATTGCAGTATATCTTTTGAGCCATCACTGAGATCAACTTTGTTCTCCGGAGTCGCCGGCAAATTAGATACATTGTTGGAAGAAAACAGCTTTCTTCCATCAAGCTCGAACGAAATCAATTGAGAGCATGAACCGCAGCGAAGCTTATGACGGTGCTTCCCCATCTGCAGAATCTCTTCAGGAATTTGAAGCAGTTCAGAGCAATTGTAGCATACTATGAAAGGAGCCGCACCAGCAACAGGGCGACAAGGTCGTCTTTCTTTCCTGGTGAAGGCAGCTTTAGGCAGATTGCGTGGCTCATAAGGATGCAAAGGGGCTTTGGGAATTCTATGGTTATAAGCTTGTGATCCAAACATGGAAGGACCATCAGCCGCATAGAAACCATGATTTCCTAAAGGACATGGCGGAACCCTCAGATTACTAAGAAAAGAGGATGTAACTTGTGCCGGCGGCAACCAGTGACCAGCATAGCAATGCATGCAAGCACAAGCAGGTTGATGATAGAAGCCATCATTATGATAAGAGCTAACTGGATCTGGATCTAACTGCCCATAGATGTAGCTGTTGGAGGATCTCTGTGGATACTGACCTTGGAGGTTACAGGGAGCAATTGAATATGGCCTAGAATTCTCTCTGTAACCATGAACACCATTCTGCAAATGCGCCGCCGCCGGATAAAATCGAGGCATATCCACATTGTGCCCATTAGAGAAAGAAGAATGCTGCGAAGAATTACGATTCAATGCGGAAGAACCATCAGGAAACCAGCTACCTCTACCATTGTGGCCATGAGAATTCAAAGAGGATGACATGTTGTTCGCAGGAACTCTTTCTTTCGGTGCGTCAACAACTTCACAAGATAGTTTGATTTGATCTCTCAACTCATCAAGCTTTCTCAGCAGTTCAGCTCTGTCCTGTTCGAGAAGCTCAACTCGGTCAGAACCCTCTAAGTTCTGCCTTTTGGCAGCACCCTCAGAATTCATGTGACTAAGATTACAATTGTAGTTTGATGGACCAGCAACAGGATAAGAAGCTGTCTGAGCATCTCCCATGGCAAGCTTTGGTGTTCCTCGGAAAGTCGGCAGGTTGTTCAATTCTTCACCTTCCCAAGCTTTTGTTGGCCGAAATTTAGAATGCCCATTTGAAAACAAGACCTGAGCTTTGGTTTCACGAATCTCTTCCATCTTTCTTTTTACCAATCCATCCACATTGTCACCAGGACTAGTAGAGTAACCCATTGATCGATGCTGAAAATTTCCATCTCTGGCCTCAGGTTTGATTGTTGGAAGACTGTCCATTCTTGGCGATTCTCCTTCTTTCAAGCTATCTCTTTTCATATTCCCGCTAATCAAACTATCATCACAAGTTTTGTTCAACTGTTGCTTCTTCTTAAATTCAAGCCTATCACTCTCCACATCAACTTCTGAGTTCTTCTCGGAGCATTTACTCACGTCTCCATCAGACTTCTCCGGGGAGGCTTCAAAGACTGTAGGTTGCTTCTTTGCTACATGGATAACCAGTTCGCAATCATAAAAGAAGTCAAAACATTTAATCAAAAAAAAATCCTTAAAATCTTCCAATAACATGGTTAAAATAACAAATTTACCTCAAAATTCAACAAAATTCAGTCAATGGCTAAAATAAATGGTATAAATCAACTCTCACACGGGTAAATTGGCGAAAAAACAAAAAGGAGAAGCATTTGAGCGACCTATACCTTGAAGTGTAGCGTCGCAACCGCCGCAGCGGTAGACAGTGAAATTGGCGAGCTCAGGTAGAAGCTTGTCGCATTTGGGGCAGCGAACGACTCGGACTTTCGCTCCTACTCCTCCTTCACCTTCCGCCATTCCTTAAAACAGTAAGAAGAAACCAGCCGCGAAACCCCCCGCCCACCAAAAACCCTAGGCAGATGGAGAAGAAAGAAACCGCTTTCCTAGCGGTGAAGGCATTCGCTTCAAAACATTCAGCGGCAAGCACAAGAAGCAGAAAGCAGCAATAAGTGGCCTGAAGCCTCTGCTATCACCAGGAATCCCGGGTACCGTTTTAGCTAAAGAAAGCCAGTGCTATAAAGCTCTCGACTTGGACATTTTTCCAAATCAATCCGCCATTTTGGAGAAAGAAAAAGCAAGATTTCGATTTGACGGATGGAGTGAGAAGACGACGGGCATATTTACGTACGGAGGGTTGCGAGTAAAAGAAGAGAAAAGGCGGGGCTAGGGAGGTAGTTGGGCATCATCATATGAGAGAGAGAGCGCGCGCAGGGAGAAGGAAGGAGCTTCCTTTTTCTTTCTCCTTTGCCCCTTTGTTTTAGCTTTGGATTTTTGATTTGAGAAAGGCCAGATGAGAGAGAGAGATAGAGTAGTGGAGTGAGGAAGGAGCTTTCTTTTTCTCCCTCAGATGCTTCTGCTGTTGCTCTGGCTTTGGTCTTTAATTTGGTGAAGAGAGAAGCAGAGATAGAAAAGTTAGGCGATTAATTCATCAAGTTTGATTTTTGAATGCCTGCTTCCATTCTTCATTGTTCAAAAAACTGGAAAAATGAGGCGCAGCTCCGCGTGAAAGCAATTGTCGAATTCTTTTTACAAAAATTTTATAAACTCTTTTATTATTATTTTCATAATATATTTTCAAATTGAGAAATGATTAAAAATATATTAAATTTATTAACTTTATTTAAAAATTAATCCAATAAAAAATAAAGTCATTATTATCTTTCAATAAAAAATTTTTAAAAACCATCCCTGACCCAATTTTTCTTCATAAATTATCATTATTTATTAAAAAAAAGCAATTCTCTGTACTAACAAAATTTAAAACTATTATTCTTTTTAAAAATCATTTATAAAAAAATTAAGCAATTCTCTTTACTAACTATAAACTAAAATCAAATTGAATAAATAATTTTATTTTTTAAGTAATAAATTATATTGACATATTTTATAATTTCTCATTTATCTTTTTTAATAAAATTATGAAATACCTTATCTTTGAATTAAAAATATTATTTTAATTAAAATATTTTATTGCTGAATAAGGTATCAGATCTACGTGATTTTTTTTAAAAAAGTATGAAAGGATAGACAAAAGTTAGGTACAAATTTGACTATTACAAAAATTATCGTACCGCAAATTGTGGCACTAATTTAAAATTAAAATTATTCAGAGACCATAACATTGTAAATCTCTTCAATTTTCTTATGATTAAAACGTACTTCGAGTCTTCGACTAATAACAGAGTTAATTTGTTTCTAATGTTAATTAAAAATGCATTGTAATTTTTTCTTAAGGAGAATATAATATTTAAATTAAATGTAATAATGATTGGATATTATCAACTATGTTTTTATACATTATTTTTGTACTATGCTAAGTCATATTAGAACTACGAGTTTAATTGTCGTAGCAACAAATAACAATATTTTTGTTGACAAAGACGGAATCTCGTCTAGTTAAAATAGTTCCAACGATAATATTTTTGAAGAACAAAAGGCAATATGATGATCATAGGAACTACAGTCTTTTTTCAAGAGACAAAATTGATCCGAGTTTGAGCAAATGAACAAGACTTCGATCATTGAAACATTCAGAAGAACGTCAAGAACAGACTTGAAGGTGCTCCTCTTACAGGAGAGGGAGGCATAACATTGAGGCACAGATGACACAATGTTAAAAGGTCGAGACTGCTATTAAGGATGGCTAATGTGAATAGTAAAAATTTTCTTAATTTGAGAAGGTAGATAACTATTATATCTAAAAATACAGATTAGAGCCTTATGTAGAGATTTGAAGATAATAAGCTAATATTTTAATCTCTCATAATCTACTCCCAAATCTCAAATAACATTAATCATAAAACTATAATTATTTAAATTATTATTTCTCTTTCTATCTCTACTCCTATATTATATGATATTTTGATAAAGAACATGAAATATCTACTGTTATCCATATGAACAGCTAATTCACAGCCCTCACAATTCTAAAAGTCAACATCAATATTATTCGATCTCTTTTGGCATTAAATGGCAAGAAAAGACCACTAAAATCCATTTGTAGATCATTCACAAAGGAAAGCAACAATAAGAAGTTATTAATTATGAGAAAATTTGAAAAACTACATGTGAACAAATAGCACAATATGATGGAGAAAGATAATGAAAAAAATATAGCTAAGAAGCTTTAAAAATGATACATAGCACATGGATTTCTTAAAAAAAAAAAAAGAATAACTAATCTAGTTGTCACTAGCACAAGCCAAGCCAAGCTAGGGTCCACTACAAAAAAAGTTTCCTAAGTCCCTTAATAATTCCAAGATTTTTGTTAGAAGAGAAGTATAATTTTTGAGATCATGAAAATTTCTATTGCATTAAGGATGATTAGAGGAGCTGAGTGTAGACTTCAAAGCAATTTAAATGAGCTAAAATGATAGTTAATTTTACATTATAAATGAATTCAGGAGGCAATTGAGTTCAAAGAAATAGAAATTTAATGTTTTCATCATCGTAACTCACAACTTTGAACACACAGATTTGAGCATCAAAGTTGATGTAGAGCAACTTTATCATTGTCAATGTCACTATTTGAGAGTTTAGTTTGCATACCATTAGGATCCTTTGCAATGACATATGGCATGATCGTCAATGATAGTTTTGTCATTTGATGTCTTGCAATGAGTTCTGAATGGACAAGCCCTTGCTAATTTCTAAAAAGAGGATTTGGTTTTTGTGAATTCCCATATGAATACTAATTTATTAATTATGCATCTAATTCATGCAGATTTCCCTTTGCATGGTAGTCTCTATACTGAGTAGATCATGATTGCACAACTATGATGACCCAACATGAGAATTATACTTCGATGTGCAACCTTTATTAAAAGTTATGAACAATATACATTCTCCCATGTTTAAGGTTTGATTTTATTTTTATCACTTTTGATGTCAGATACACTAATAGGTTTAAAGGACACTTGCTAATAATGAAGATCAATATAAATCCTCTTCATTAGGTTGCAATCAAGAAGGATATTGAGACAATCAAGATTTTGGGTAATTCTCAGCTAAAATTTGTAACCAACTTTTTATTTATTTTTTTGATAAATTTTATTCTTTAGGTTATAAGAATACTGTTACTCTCATTGACACTCATAATGATAAAAACAATCAATTAAGTGATAGATTACAAGAATATACATCTAATCAAGCATGACAATGTAAAATTTAAACAAAATTTATGGAATTAAATTCAAGACTATCCAAAACTTATACCCAAACTAAACGTAACACCTACCGATTCTGTGTTCAATTGCACATGTTCTGACCCGACTTGATAAAGGTAACTCACTAAATTTTTATGATTGAACATTTTTGCATGTACCAATCTAAACCAAGGATGATGCGTGCTAACCTTGTTAAATGTTGTCTCTCAAAACAATGATGCACATTATTGCCAATAAGGTGAACGTATATTGTTAAGACTTGCTTTGATTTTCAAATCAACACCAACATTATATTAGACCTCTTGGTCTTTAGTTTCCTATCCTCAAAGGAGAATGATCAAATAAATCACAAATGATCCGTTGGAAGATATCTTCAATGTCTCAAGGCTCTTATAAATTCCACCATATAATTGTTGGGTTATTTGTTCATGTATTTTATTTGATTTTCAAGCAAGGAGCATATAGCTTGAGATTTTGTATTTACATGTATGCATGCAGTGACGCTGGTGTAGTTTTTATTTCAGTTATTTTTATATATATATAGTTAGAGCGACTATTGTATATATTATTATTTTGGAATATATTGTTATCATATAATTATGGACCATAGAAATGTGAATTATATTTTCTGATGTTTATTGATTATTTGTAATGAAACTAATTAGCTCTAAATGTTGGTATTGATTCGGTTTCAATGGTTGATTAATAAATAAAATGAATTGACTAGAAAATAAAGATTGAAAAGAAAAAAAGGAAAAAAGAAATTATTTCACTATAGATTTCGGGGAATAACAAAAATTTGTGAGGCGGTGAAATCATGAAATTTTTGTGATTGGAGAGAGGAGATTCGTTAAAGAGATGAGCTCATGTGGTTCTCTTGCGAGGGGGAGATCGGCCGTTGCTTTAGTCACACGTGCGTGAGAAGGGCACTGAACCGTAGCTGGCTCGGTTCTAGTGTTACACATGTGCTCTAATACCAACTTGAACAAATTTTTTACTGCTTTATAAAATAGTTTTTTAGTACAATTTTTTGAAAGGACCGAAAAAAATGACAAAAAAACAATATCAAACAAATCCTTAGTAAAATTAAGTACTCCGAAAGCTAAAACTAATAGAAAATGAGCAAAATGTGTAAAGCCAAAGGTCTAATATTGGTCACATATTCAAGAGGACCTCTTAATGCTCATGACTCGGTCGACCGTCCGTCGTCATCTAATAAATTGACTTCCATGCATGTTGACCTAAATTTTCATATAAAATAATACCAATTTAGTTTCACATTTCACCAAACTTATGAATGCATGGCTTAAAAAAATAAAAATAAGTGTCACACTAAGTGTAGGGACTCTTACTAAGTCAATATTTGATTAACTGCCCTAATTATTTTATTCGTGGTGCTAAGAGAATAAAAAATGCTATGGTAGACACCGTTGATGTTCTTCCATTCTTCCTAATTATTACTATTACTTTTTTTTTTTGTTATAGAAAGGAGAGAATGCTTCCGTACAAATTTGTATTAGGAAATCTAAATTACTCAATATAATTGAATTAAATATAATCAAAGTAATAATTAAGTAATAATTAATGCTTAATCTTTCAGCAGCCCTTTTTTCAGTGCAACTAACTTCGATGTACATTGAAGTTTGAGAAAGAATTTGTAGAAGGATTAGATTGAAATGTAATTAAGAAATTAGAATTTTGTTGTAGGATTAAAAAATTATTTCTTTGATGAAAAAAATAATTATTTTTGAGTTTTTTTTTTTTTTTTTAAAGTGAAGCTATGATCTCAGAGTGTATTGAACTTCATTTGAATATTTGTGAGTTTGCAATGATACGGTTAGGTAAAAGGCCGACGATGATAGAGCGGAAATCTGACGACTGTCCGCTAGAAGTCCAACGACGGTTAGTGGCTAGGATGAAATCAAGCGACGGTCGGGGGCAGGACGGAAGTACGGTGATGGCCGGTGGCATGGGCGAAGTCTGGCGACAATTAGTGGTCGGGCGGTAGTAGAGGGGTCGTCTAGTGGCAAGAGAGCACCCATATTTTTTCTTCATCTCTTCTCTTATTTCTCTTGCTTGCTCTCCCTTTTAGTGAAAATTGACAGGTCTATTTATAGTTTTATGAGAGTAGCATGACTAGTAATTATGGAGAAAATCAAGGGCAAGCTAGGAGTGTTTCAATGGACGACCGTTATCAACTCCTTTGGTCATGGACCGTTTATCAAATATTTGAGTGTCTTAAATATGTCAGAATTCTGCTATATTAGGCTCATTGGATTTACATCGTCAAGACGTTCGATTAGACTAT